TTCGGATTATATATCAGGGGTAATTATACAAAAGTTCCTATTTTTAAACCATTATAAAAGTGACATTTATTTGCTATTAAAATTGGTACAATAGTCCCCTTCACAAGTATATATAGATGTAGCATGTTGAAATCCCCACCTACACTACTGTGATGGTATACACATGGAAGACAGAGATTTAAAAAATGACCCAAAAAACATAGCTTGGCTAATGCCCTTTGAAAAGGACGGTTTTATTGAGCTTCTGTATAATGTACAAGTGAGCGTTGTCCACAAGGCCATCAAAGCGGACAGGAAGGTAGCTGTGGTCATGTACTAGTGCAGGAATGTCAGCAAACGGGGATGGAAGATCTTCTCCTCCTGCTTACACATTATATAACCTGCAGAAACAAAAACAAAATTGACCAACAACAATTCACAGTGTATAAGATTGGTATATCAATATGTGATTAAATTTCAATGATACACATGCCCTTTGAAGATGAGCTGGAAAGTTGAAAATGTTTGGCACAACACCATCTTTAAGTTGTCCAAATGAAACTAATACAAACTTATAAAAGCTTTGAGTCAACAACAGTCTTGTAATACTATTATGTCATAGCAAAAGTCTGGCTTCTTCCTTTTAATAAACCCAGCAAATTCCTGTAACATAATGTAAGATGTTTTGACAAACCAAATCGATTGGAAATCATGTTCAATTCTGCCTCTTCCACTGATGTAAAGTTGCTGGTTAACGTTAGCAGCTAGCTAAACTGTAACGTTAGCTGCTAACTTACTAACGTTAGGTCTCACTTTGCAGCTTCTTGTTATTAGCCAGCTAACGTTAGGCTAATAATGAAAATACAACAACACTCAGATTATTGTTATTGCCCAACTAATAACTACAACCACATCCACAAATATTGTAATTTACACCAAAGATTAATTGTCATACAATCGTTATTGGTGTCAGTAAAACCTATATAATTGACTAACAGTCTCAGCCTTGATAACTTGCGCAAGTAGCCGTGATGCACAACTATGCTGCATGATTAAGTAATTTTTCGACAAGAAAATCTGCAATTTCGACATGTTCAAGCATCTAGAATTATAGCCACGTTCATAATGTTTGTAAGAAACCAAACTGTTTGTAAATCCGTCAAGAATTCAGTGAGATAAGAGTATTTGTGTTCGTGCTGATCACTCGCCTTCATTAGGTACCACAGAGCACAACAGAAAGCCTGCCTGAGGTAAGATGGCCGCCGGTGATGACGTTTGAGACTCCGCCGTAAGACATCTAGCCTTTATTATGGATATCTATGGTGATGACGGCGCGGCGGATGACGCATTAATCGCGCGACACAACTAATCGATGATGAAATTCGTTGCCAACGCTTTTAAAAGTCGATTTTTATCGATTCGTTGTTGCAGCCCTAATTAGAATAAGAAACTTAATGTTTGTTTTTTTTTTTTGCTGCAAAATTATCCAAATTACAAATGAGAGAGCATGTCCTTGAGATCATGCAGACTTAAAATAAATATATATCTGTTATTAGTTTGTGTTCTAAAACTGATTTCTCAATTTCTTTTCAGTGTGTGAAGACGGGGGTGGAACAGGGCCCAATTGCTGGATACTTGGCAGAGTCTCAGGTAAAGTTTATTTTCCTCGCTTCCTGGCACCTATAGGGCTTACGTCTTTGTTTGCTGATCGTTCGATTTATTTTCTTTTTTTATACAGAATTTCGGCCAGTTGGCGAAAACTTCAGAATCGGCCGCCCTAATTGGTCTGTATCACGGTCAAGTAGCATGCAAGAAGAATCGATTTGGAACCCCAGAGAGAGAAGTGAAGTAAGCGTTTTTTGTGCTTTGGTTTGATGCATTGTCTGCCACAGTTATCGGCTCACTTGTTTTCTGTTTTCTTTTCCCCAGAACTCTTGCCATTTTGGGAGCAGGGCTAATGGGAGCGGGTGTCGCCCAGGTGACTGTGGACAAAGGCATCCATACCATCCTTAAGGACACCACTGTGGAAGGTTTGTCCAGAGGAGAGCAGCAGGTTTACAAAGGGTCTGTAACTTCATGTCAGATGACACTTCTGGTTTATGCTGCAATGAAATGATCTTGAATGTTGCTTTTCTAAAGCCTTTATTCCTTTTCTTTTTAAATAGCCTTAATCACAAAACCAAAAAGAAGAGCATCACATCCTTTCAGAGGGACTCCATACTGTCCAACTTGATCAGCCAGCTAGATTACAAGGGCTTTGAAAAGGCTGACATGGTCATTGAAGCTGTGTTTGAAGATATCAAAATCAAGCATGCCGTCCTGAAAGAAGTCGAAGCTGTAAGTCTATCACTAAGCTTTTACTCTTCATTTTATAAATTTAATCAAGCAACAAAACATTTGATCTCATCCACATTTGTCTACAGGTGGTCCCTCCTCACTGTATATTTGCAAGCAACACATCTGCTCTTCCTATCAAGGACATTGCTGCTGCTAGCAAGAGACCAGACAAGGTTTGACTTTGGGTTTGTTTTACATAAATAAGCAATTGTTTTATTCACAACATTGTAAGATGACTAGTTCTCTCCACCCTCAGGTTATTGGAATGCACTACTTTTCTCCAGTGGACAAGATGCAGCTCCTTGAGATTATAACCACTGATAAGACGTCGAAGGACACTACAGCCTCGGCTGTGGCGGTCGGCCTGAAGCAGGGCAAAGTGATCATAGTTGTTGGGGTGAGCTCCAGGGTTCTGCTAAAATATTACTTAAAAACATGTCATGTGTCAATTGTGTTCACTAAAGTATCATTAAGCAGGATGAAAATTTGAAATAAGCAAGCTTTAAAAAATTAATCGGAAAGTATTTGTCCAAAATTTAAAAGCTGTATCCAGCTATATCCCTTTTTAATATTTTCTGTTTATCTATCTATACATCAAACCCTTTACAACAGGGTTCCCGCAGGTCCTTTAAAAGTCTTAAAAGGCATTGAATTCTTCAAAATAAAACTAAGGCCTTAATTGGTATTAAAATGTCTTAAATCAGTCTTTCGTAGGCATTATTTATTAAAAACATAATAAATAGGATTATTTTTATTACAATTTATTTTTGTAATCTAAATAAAACGTTAAAATTTACTCTTTTTTTTTTTTCAAAAAAAATAACGGCTCGCCATTATTGGTTCCGTCCCGATAGCGGAACCAATAAAGCGTTGTTGCGGCCGGGACATTTGGGAGATGCGCCATTAACTTTTTGTCTGGAAAATATGAGCAAGTGTAAATGTAGTGAAAATTGGCTCCAGGTAAGTGTTTTCTCCATGGCTAAAACCAGGGAACATACATGAGGCTCAGTGGATTTAGTGCAAGAAGTCATTCTGGGAATTAAGGCAGTGGAGTCGCATCCGAAGCACGAAATACAAAGCAGCAAAATGGAGTTACGGAGAAACAGCCGGTATTTCTCAGTTTAGTTCCACCCTTGTCTCTGCAACGCCTCCACTTATCACCAAATCAAACATACTAAGAAAACCATACAAAAAAAAAATAGCTGCAAAAAGACTTAGCACTGGTTATGTTGGGGCTTTAAAACTGATTAGTTTTGTTCCCTGCTAAAACAAAGTTTGTGAATTCAGTTAAATAATTGTTAAAATATATCCGTCATTTGTGTGTTTTTAGCTTTCTTCCTGAATGGGAAGCTTTTCAAAATTTGAAACATTAATGCAGTGGTTTATGTTAAAATAAACCTTTGGGTTAAGTTGTCGCAAGCGGGTTTTTCTTGTCTTTCTTGTGAATTTGGTCTTAAATTTTTATTTCAAGTGGCATTAAAAAGTCTTAAAGTCTTGAATTTAATTTGCCTTATGCTGCAGGAACCCTGTACAATCCATTTTTTCCCCCTCTGCCCATCCGTTCATATATTGCCTATCATTCATCTGCTTGTCCATCTGTTTTTATATACTTGTTTTTCCCTCCATGGAGTAGTAAACATATACAACCGTCTTTCCATCTCCTATTCTCAAGACATTTTATCATTCAATAAAAGCAGGAATGGTAGTTTCACATCCTCTGTTATTTTGGGAAATGAATCATCTTGATAATAAAAGTAATTAATGTAATATATTCAAACTTACTATTGATTTAGTTTGCAAATTCCAGAAACTGACAATGTTTTTCAGATTATAACCCAATTAGATTTTTTTTATGAAAGATTCTATTAATATAAACCAGGTAAAATATTTATATATAAAAAATATAATTGTGTTTTTTCAAGACTGAGTTTAAACAGTGACAGAGTAATATCTACTCTGTTATAGTGCTTTTAAAAAAATCGGTCCTCTGATTGTCAGTCGCCGGGCAATCCGTTTAACAGTCATCCATCTGACCGTTTATTTAGCTTTCCACCCGTTAATCAGCAGTCAGTCTGATCCATTCATCAAATTCACAGTGAACTGTTATTGAAGTTTAAACCTGAGGATGAAACGGACACAGAAATCTAGAATTTGATCAGAGAAATTTGTAATAACCCTGGTGTTTTGAGCTACGTTCGTATTACTGAAGTTTCTTCTCAGGATGGACCTGGATTCTACACCACGAGGTGTCTGGCTCCTATGTTGGCTGAAGCTGTACGAGTTCTTCAGGTTAGTTCAAGCTGCAGGTTCCTTGTTTTCTTGGATGGTCTGTCCTTTAAAACGACGCTTCAGAATTTGATGCATTGCTTCTACAAAACTGCTTTGCATGCTATCGTTTACGTGCAGGAAGGCGTAGACCCCAAGAAGCTGGATGGCCTTACAACAAGCTTCGGCTTCCCTGTGGGTGCAGCCACGCTGGCCGATGAAGTTGGTATTGATGTTGCAGCTCACGTGGCTGAGGATCTCGGCAAGGCCTTCGGCTCCCGCTTTGGTGGCGGAAATGTGGAGGTTTTAAAGACCATGGTGGATCAGGGGTTTAAAGGTGAAAGCTCCTTATTGTTTGGGTTTTGGTTTAGGAATCTGCTTTAGTCTTATTGTTTCTGATGTTTGTTATATTTGTGTTACTTTGAAGGACGTAAATCAGGAAAAGGTTGCTACATCTACCAACCAGGCCGCAAAGTCAAGGATGTGAACCCAGAGGTTGGAGACATTCTTGAGAAGTTCAGGATGACACCGAATCCTGCTGTGTAAGTCCAAATGAAAATGAAAGGAGATGCAGGAGCAGCACAACACGTGAAAAATAATATCTTTTATTTTTAACAATGCAGGGTCGAAATGATTCAGTTAAACTTTTATTTTAAAAAAACAGCTCAAGTTCTTTTGTCTGACACAGGCTCTATCACAACACTGTCAGTATTTATTTCTTAGTCTATCTCTTTTTTTTCTGAAGAATAATATTTAAATTGTATGTATATTAAGGGATAAGTTATTATTCATCTATATTCCAATTGAAATAGTTCATTATTGATATTAAATATCAAATCACTGAGATAATCACTTAACTTTGGTGTCATCCGCAAAAAGGATTAGGTTTAGTAGTTTGGGTATATTAAATATGTTGTGTAAATTAAACAAGTTTGGGCCCAATATAGATCTCTGTGGGACTCCACAAGCAATACCCAAACATCCCGATTCGAACATACCCTTCTTCACATGTTGCCGTCTATCTGCTAAATAGCTTTGCATCCAACTGAAGGCCGCTCCACTAAAACCATATCTTCCCGTTTTTTTTGAGTAAAATATCACGATTTACAGTATAAAAGGCTTTTTTCAAGTCATTTAATATTCCTGATGCATATTTTTTTCCATCTAGATTATTTGTAATTTCTTCTACTGCATCAATTACTGCCATAGATGTTGACCTTTTTAACTTTTTATTATTATTAATTATGTTTTTCTATAAATTTATGAAATGTATTGCTAAAAAAAAGTGTAGCAGAGAAATTGTCCTGTAATTGGCGAAAAATGTTTCCATTCTTACACAGTGGTATTATTTTTGCCATTTTCATATTGTTTGGAAAGGTCCCTGTTTCAAATGATAGATTAAAATATAAGTTAAGGGTTTAGAGATATTACAGGTCATTATTTTATTAGTCTCATATCAAAAACAATCAGTAGTTTATTTTCACACTTACTAACAGTCTCTATTATATCTGATTTAGTTCCGCTTAACCAGACGTGGAATTAGTGATGTTTTACTTTTGTGAAGAGGGGAGGCATCATATTTAATACTCTGTCGTCTCACCCTAATCACTAGTCGTGTATATTTAGCTGTTACTTGATTTTTCCTGATCATTATAACCAAGTTTCTATGTCAAAGGTGACAATTTGGCTGGATGGGAACTGCGGCTGAAACAATTAATTGGATTAATCAATTGTTGTAATAAAACTAATTTACTAATCCATTAATCCTAAACTGGAGTGACAGATCAACCAACCCTTGAGCAGCAATTATACCAAAATTATAAAAAGAATATATAAACATTTTGCATTTAAGATACAAAAGCTTTTTCATTTGTCAATATCCAGAACTCAAGTGGAATTGTTTTAGTTTCACCTGGTTTGATTTAGTAAAAAATCTTCTTTAAGGAACCTATTAGTATCTTTTCATTAATTGATTAATCGACAGATTAATCACTTTTAAAATAATCGTTATTGCAGCCCTAATGGGAAAACTACATGTTACCATCAGAGTGATGCTCTCAAACATCCAACCTTTTTTTTTTTTGGAACAGATAAAGCAGGCCTGTTAAAAGTTTTTTGGCTGTGTTTAAAACTGTCCTTTGCTATGAAACAGACTAATGGTTGAATCGCTCAATTAGAGTAACTAAACATCCAGGCAGAATTCAGCTGAAACATTTTTATGGCTACAAAAATCGGAGTTTATCCACAACCCAACTAGAGGTATCATAGGGGTGTGTGTATATATTTAAATCTCTGTTAAACTGTACTTACTGCTATTATTACCGTATTTTCACGACCATAAGGCGCACCGTACTAAAAGGCGCAGTCTCAGTTATGTGTGCCATTTCTGTATTTAACACACACATAAGGCGCACCGGACTATAGGGCGCGTTTTTTATATACCGGTTTATATCCTCTACTACCTTTAAATACCTCTACTTTATTTAAAAGTACAGCGGGAGCAAACTGAGTATGATTGTGCTTTATTCATGTATTTATTACAAACTATTAATCAAACCTGGGAGCTGGCGGTGAGACAGACACATTGCTGATGACACAGCGCTGTGGTCACTCCTAAATTAACTTAAAATCCTGAAACCGGAAAAATTTCGCTTTTATTACCGGTATCCTGGTGCCTGCAGTTTAAATTATTTAGATGAAAAACACCTGCCAGCCACCGCGTGAACCCGGAGGCTACCCGGCCTAGAGGCTGCTGATGAAGGGATTCCTACTGTCCGTGCACCGCTGGTATGTGGGGGTCTGAGCGCCTCCGACAGAAATAGTATAGGCAGGATGAACTGACTGCAATTATTAAGTTTTCAGGTGGACTTTCTCACTTAAAAACATATTAAAACGAAAGTTACGTATGTAACTACGGTTCTATGAATCCCGGATGACCGCCAGAGGGCGGTGCTGAAAGCACTGAATGTTCCCTTCGGGCATGCGCAGTTCGAGTAATTATACCAACAGAGTCACACCTGTGACACCGGATGACCACTCAAGCTATATAGCCTGGTGTCATCCTTTGCTCTGCTCCTACAGAATCTTCTCGCAAAAGCAAGGATCCTGAGTGACAGAGAAGCTCTGGCGGTCATCCGGGATTCATAGAACCGTAGTTACATACGTAACTTTCGTTCTATTTCATCCCTACTGACCGCCAGAGGGCGGTGCTGAAAGCACTGAATGACTAATGCCAACGATGTCACAAGGAATCCTGAGCACATACCTCACAGAGGAGGCCCAGCAGAACCTTGTAAAAGGACCTGACCCAGGGGATGAAGGGCAGCCACATTGACACTGTAGAACCTGGTGAAGGTGGTTGGGGAAGCCCATGAAGCAGCAGCACATATAGCTTCCAGCGGAACCCCTCTCAAAGCAGCCCAGGAAGCGGTGACGCTCCTGGTGGAATGTGCTCTCACACCGACTGGCAGGGAGCAGTGACCTGGAGCGTAGGCGTGGCAGATGACACTCACAATCCAATGGGACAGACGCTGTTTAGAAAGAGGACAGCCTAACCTTGGACCCCCATAGCATAGGAAAAGCTGGTCCGAGCGTCTCAGATTGGCGGTGGCTGCAATGTATGCCTCCAACGCTCTTACTGGGCACAACAACTCAGACTCATTCTCAGTTGTACCAGATTGAGGCTGAAACCGAGCCAGCCGCAATGGCTGGTTACGGTGAAAAGGAGACAACACCTTAGGCACAAACGCAGTATTAGGCCACAGGGTAACACCAGAGCCATCTGGATTCCACCTGATACACCTAGGGCTGACAGAAAGAGCATGTAGCTCGCTGACCCTCTTAGCTGAGACGATAGCCATCAGGAAAGCAGTCTTGCAGGAAAGCCACTTGAGTTCTGCTTGTGCCAAAGGCTCGAATGGAGGGTGGCACAGAGCTGTGAGAACCAACGGCAGATCCCAATCTGGGGCTCGTGGGGCTGGCTGCTGGCACAACCTACGAGCACCACGCAGAAAAAGTGAAACCAGTTCATGGCGCCCCACTGTACGGTTGTCAACAGTTCGGTGAAGACATGAAATTGCTGCAACATACACTTTAAGGGTCGAAGGAGAGCGGCCCTTATCAAGGAGAGACTGGAGGAACTCCAAAATAGTGGGCACCGAGCAGGAAACTGGGTTCTCATTGTGGGCAGAGCACCACTGAGAAAAGAGGCGCCATCTGTTAGCATACTGCAGCCGAGTGGAGGAAGCCCTAGCACTCAATACGGTGTGTCTCACGGTGTCTGAACACCCAGTCAGCCTCCCAGGGGCCATGCCCACAGCTGGAGACGTTGAGGGTTGGGGTGCCATATCTGTCCCCCCAACTGAGACAGCAGATCCCTCCTTGCTGGAAGACGCCATGGAGTACCGTGACACAGACTCCAAAGCAGCGGGAACCACGGCCGTGCTGGCCAGAACGGAGCTACCAGCAACACTCTGTGGCCCTGCTCGAGAACCCTCCGTAGAGTCGGCCAAATCAGTGAGAGGGGTGGAAAGGCATACAGGAGAACCTGCGGCCATGGATGAGCCAGTGCATCCTGGCCCAGTGCGCCCGCCATCCCGGTTAGGGAATACCATAGGGGGCAATGGGTCGACTCCTCTGTGGCGAACAGATCTACCTCTGCCTGCCCAAAGAGGTTCCAGATTATGCGCACTACGTCGCGCTGAAGAGACCACTCTCCCGGAGCAGGTGCCTGGCGGGATAGAGAGTCCGCAACCTGGTTCTGCCGTCCTGGCAGATACGCTGCGCGCAGGGTACACAGACGGAGAAACGCCCATTCCAGGAGATCCCTCGACACCTTCAAGAGACGTGCTGACCTGGTGCCACCTTGGTGGTTTATATGATAAACAACAGAGATGTTGTCTGTCCGAATCAGCACGTGCCTTCCCTCTAGGTGGGGCAGAAGGCACCTGAGGGCCATGTGCACAGCCCACAGCTCCAGTACATTTATGTGTTCGGTGCGCTCCCTTGGGTCCCAGAGACCCCGAACAGCTCTGTGTTGCCACACGGCACCCCAGCCCATGAGGCTGGCATCCGTGGTGACCACCTCCCTTCGACACACTACTAGCCCCATTGGAACACCACTGGACAAAAGGGTCCCGTCTCGCCAAGGAGCTAGGGCATGGAGGTAGCTCCTGGTCACCATTAGCCTGCGATGCCTGTGCAGCCTGGCGTCTAGGCGAAAGCTGTTGAGCCATCGCTGCAAAGGACGCAGAAGAAGCAGCCCTAAGGGCACGACACGAGTGACTGATGTCAGTTTGCCCAGCATTCGCAGGAAGATGATGTAGGGAAACTCCCTGCCCAGTCTGACTCGACGGACAAGCTGGAGTATGTCGTCCACCCTGTGAACAGATCGACGGGCCATCATGGTAGCAGAGTCCAGATGCATCCCAAGAAAGGTGGTTGTCTGAGATGGAACAAGACAACTCTTTGCCAAGTTGACTTTGAGGCCTAACAGTGACACATGAAGTAGAAGCTGGGACGTATCCCAAGAGGCAGCTACCTG